CTAATTTGTTTTAACCTCTTCTTGGTATATATTTTTTTCTTAAAAGATGCATATTAAACAAAGAGGAGTTTGTTTTGCTTTTTGGATGACTCTGCTTTAAATTGCTTTCTTTGAAAGATACTGATGTTATTAGGTTATCACTAAGTGAGTATCACTAAGAGAGTAACTATGACCAGATACTGTGGGCTCATCAGTTTTTATCCTTTTTCATTTCTAGTACATTTTGATGTTTTTATTTTTAATTGATAATGGTAGAAGGAAGAAAATAGCTTTAATTATTGAATAAACATTCCCTTTAAAGAAGACAAGTCTTTCTTTGGTGGATGATAAAGAGGAAAGAGTTGGGCTTTAGAGTCAGACGAGGTTGAATTCCCAGCTCTCCTGCTGGCCAGGTGTGTTACCTGGGGGACATGACTTATTACCAACCAATATGTTTCCTGACATGTAAAGGAGGGTCGTAGTACATACTTCAAGGGTGGCTGTGCCTAAGAAAGACCATACACTATTCATGTTAGTGCCTGTCACATGCTTCTCAGCGTGATTAACTGCAGCCGTGACTATTTTTATTGCCTGTTTTATTCATATTACTGTTTTCAGCCTGCAAACAGCTTCTCCTTACCTGAGCTCTAGCTGATTTTAAAGTATTATATTTCAGATGAGGGAAGAAATGGGGAAATCCTTTATTTAAATCTTTACCTACTTCAGACAAGTGACCTCAGCATCCTTTCTTGTCCATCAGAGGACTTTAAATTAGCCACTTCTACTATGTGCTACCCAAGTAGGACAGGAGGCTTCTTTTTTGTCCCTCCATTTTGGCCTTGGAGGTAATTTGCAAAGATGAGCACTCGAGCATGTAAATGGTCAGTTCTCCAGGGGTGGGCAGGAGATTAACTTGGTAAAATAGGTCAAATTAACTAAGTTAAGCTAACTAAGTTCCTAAGGGTGAAGCTGTCTCTTTTATTTTAGATCAGCACTCATGCTTGCCGTATATCATGACTCACCGGACATAGTCAAGCTGCTGCTTGAGAAAGGTGTTAATGCCAATTTGCTAGATGTACACGGACAGTCTGCTGAACAATATGCTTCTTATAGTGGTTTTAAAGAGTAAGTGTTTACATTAAATTGCCAGTTATCTCTAAACTGAGGTTGGAAATGACCTGTTACTTGTAATGTGACAGGTGAGAGTTCCTAGTTGGGAGCAGGCACTTTGGGGGTGGCAGTGAGACCCTTCACATCATCAACTGGAAACCAGCAAAAGGCCAGACTAGTGAGATAGAGCAGTGGGCACAGGGTTCTTTATCTCAGGGTTTGTAAGACCTTAATCCTTAGGGTCCTACTGTTCTCCATTTCATTCCAGTGTAACCCCTATGCATGGGGTACCAATAATGTCACATACCTGATTTTTCTACCTAGTTATTTGGGTCTTGAAATGTTTAGTAGAGCAGAAAATCCTGTATTTGCCTTTGGGGACTTTCTTCTATAATCTTCCTCTTGAATTTTCCAGGAACCTAAGGGATTCCCTAAGGCCACAGTGACGATCCTCTCCCACAAGGCATTGGGGCAGGGCGAGGGCATGCTAATCCTTCTCTTGTTTCCCTTGATTCTGTTGCTGCAGAGTTGGTACTAAAACTGGTTTTAGCAGGATCTCCTCGGCAGCTGGGTCTGGGGTCTGGATGTTGCTCTCTAAAGACCTTTAATAAAATTTTAAAAGAAGAAAAGGAAAAAGAAACTGGTCCTGCAGTCGGGTCGTGCCTGACCTCTGCTCCCGGGATGCCTGTGCTGATCCAGTTTCCGCGGTCTTCGTGGTGATCGACACGTAAACTTCAGCATGACAGCTTGTTTAGTTCTCATACATATGCTTGTATGAGGTCATATACTTATAAATAAGTTTAACTACAAGTTATATAGTAGCTGAGGTTCCCTGAATTATAAACCACGAAGAACAGCTTATCACCGTAATTTGTAACATTTTCTGAAAACTGCCACATTTAAATGTTACACCTAGGGAAGAAAACACACATTGGGTTTTATTTGGGATTCTCAAATAGTTCCAGCATTTAAGTTCAGGAAGAAATTTTTCCATTCTGCCACTAATTCTCTGAGCATCTGGGGTATACATTATCTCATTAAATCTTTGTAATACTTTTACGAGTATTAATAACTAACTGCCTAACAAGACAGTAAGATCCCAGTTTTATAAAGGAAGACTTTGAGCTGAAGAGAAGCAACTTTTCCAGGAACAAATAGCTGTTGGTTATAGAGCTGGGACTTCTGAGTTCGAGATACTTTCCATATGTCAGGCTCGCTCTAGTTAACTTACTGAGCTGTACTGCCTTCAGTTCATGACTACTTCACCTTACTTTTTTTCTTTTTTAATTATACATGCTAAATTTAAAAGTTTGTAGATTGTACAAATTTGAAGTATATGGGACAATTGAAGTTTTGATATTACCTCTGATATTGTGTGAAATAATCTAAGAATTTAATATGTTTGGTAATTGCTTTTCATATTAGTATTCAAGTAGTAATATTTATTTATCACTTTTTGTATACATAGCCTTTACCAACTGATTGTCGACTACAGAGCCGGAAAGATACCAGATACTTCCCCTCAAAATAGTGACCTAGGACAGAGTTCTGGTAATAAGTTACTCTTGTTGGGCCTACCATAGATAAGGAAGTAAGATTGAGGAACTTTTGATAATGAAAGAGCAGTGGTAAAAGCCAGTGTGTAAATTTCATGTATGTTTTTATTTTTTAATTAATTTTTTCTTAATGGTCTAGTATTCAGAATTATTCGAGATGTTAATTGTAGGTAAATTAAAATCTGGGACAATATTGTCTGAAAAGAAATTCATTTATTTAATCATGGCCCCTGAAATCCCATATTATATCTTTGTGTAGATACGAAAAACAGGTTTTCTACTTTGTTGTATGTTTCCTGTAACATTATAACAAGTTGGCCTTGTTACAGAACTGGATCTTTAATTTTTACAGCAAATGGATTACATTGGGTGAATGAACGCTAGTTATTGCATAGTGATTAGCCTCACTAAAAAGTGATTGTCTTTAAAACTGGGAGCTCGGCAATACCTTCCTGGTGCTATAAAGAAATGGCCAGCAATTAGAACTGCACAGCTGGGCCAGTGTGCAGCATACTAACAAGAGATTGTTTTCTAAAGATACCTAGTGATAGTGCAGAAGTCAGGAAAGCAGTGCCTTGTTGAGAAGCACGGGTTACTTTTCGCGTCATTACACCAACAAGGTCTCTCTTACTGATTTCATTCCTCAGAAGTGCAGACAGAGTGCGACATGTTGCCTTCATGAGAGTCAGATGTTTTCTTCTTTTTGGGGGGATACTTGTCATGAAACTATAATTTTGTTAGAACAAGATTGTCTGTTGCCATTAGTTAAAGGATTGTGATAATAAATACTCAAATAGCACAACTCAGGAGTCAACAAAGTGTAATAAAAGCACAGAAGTGCTTCACATAAAAAAAAAAAAGGACTGTGTTGCCTAGGTGTGACCCCTCGCGTGCTGTTCAGTCTGAACTGTGTGAGGGCACCTTAAACTTGGTAGACCTGGATCAAGCAAAGAACTTCTGCTGTAGGAAATACAAAGATGGAACAGACAAGACTTTTGGTTTTCACGGTGCTCGTAACACAACAGAGTTGTCCCTGGTTAATATCTGTATTTTTTAACAGGACTTTCAAAGAAAACATTCTTGTCTGTTGTCTGTTAATTCATCCACTTAACAGATGACTATCAAGTGTTTTTTAGGTACTAAGCACCACTCTGACGTTGCAGGATGCAAACAGGTCACAAGCACAGTTCCTGGCCTCCGGGAGCTTGTTACTGTCATCACCAGTTTTATGATTTGCTTTAGTTAATTCTGTGCTTGCTATGTCCCAGAGCCCACTAGGAGTTTGTAACTGTCTTTATATATATTTTTACTGGTATTTAATATGTGCCAAATTAAGTCCATGGTGAGGAAAGAAGTTTTTCAAAAGTGGGTAGGATGTCAGGCAAGCCATGCAGAGCGAGTAGAAGTTTGCCAGGGAGGGAGGCAGAAGGGCAGTGTTTGGTGGGCGGAACATCTTTGAAGATTACATTTGGCAGAAAGGACAGCGGTGCAAAGGCTGAGATGTGCCAGTGAACTTTGCAGGATCTATGAGTTTCGTGTTGGTGGTGCAAAAATGCTGCTGTAGGAATGGTTGGAAATGAGGTGACTACCTAGCTCAGGCATGCTTCTGAAAGCCTTTCTAGTACTATAGAAAGGAGGAGGTCTGCTGTAGACCTTGGGAGATGTGTCAGAATGCTTTCAGCTGCAAATAATAAGAGACCTAAGTAACAGTGGCTACAGCAACAGGAGTCAGGATTGTTTAGAAGGTTCGGTGATGTCATCAGTCGCTGTCCCTCCTTCAGCTGTGAGGCTGCTGGTGTTTGATGTCGCCTTCCCTGGTCTGCTGATTGGCAGCAGCTCCAAGCGTCATCTTCTCGCATGACAGTATCCGCAGGCGAGGAGGGCTGCTTCTCTCTGCATGTTTTCTGTTAACTAGGAAGAAAGCAGAGACGCTTCCGGTAGACTTCCCCTAGCATCTTATTGGCTGGGCTACATCATGTGCTCATTCCTAAACCAGCCACTGGGAAAGGAGATGTAGTTACTGTGATGACTGTAGAATAATGATTTCTCTTTACTTTCTTCTCATACTGGAGCAGTGAACATCCAAGGAAAGTTGCAGTTGTCCGGCAAGGATGACGAAGAAGAAATGGTTGTCGAGTTGGGAACCAGCAATGGCGGCTGCACGGATTCACCAAAGAATATTGAGCAGAAGAGTAAGAATATTCGATTAGAGTCTTAGGGTTTCCTGTTATGACATAAAGCAGGGATGCACAAGCTTTTTCTGTAAAGGACCGGAGAGTCAATATTTTAGGCCATGTGGTGTCTGTCACATCTACTCATGTCTGCCATTGCAGTGTGAAAGCAGCCCTAGACAGTATGTGAGCGAATAGGGATGACTGTGCCCAGATAACACGAGGCTGAGAAAGCCAAATGGCGGGGTGGGTTTGTCCCATGGGTGTCGTCCAGAAACACCACCCTGTGTGAGCTTGACGTTGTCAGTTAATGATGCTGACTCTTAACGATTATCATTTTTTGTGAGTCTCATAAAGTTTGGTTGGGATTTTGGTCCCTGTAAACAGCAGTTCACTTTAAGATATCAAATTTAAATAAACACCCTTTGTTTTTGATAAATATGAAGGAGGGAAGTGGTTTTTATGCATTAATTACCTACCAGGAGTGTACTCAGTATTCACTCAAGTGTGTAGTCCCAGGTGTGGTCCCAAAGGAATGCTTTTTAACAAAACATTGGTCTTACACTTTAAATATTCTGTATTTTTCTATTGCTGATATAGAATCTATTTTACTTTTTTCTTTAATAGCGGATTTAGTGGTTGAGTTTTCACCGAGGTTTGAAGACATCTCTGTCATCGGGTAGGATTTTATGGATTTTTAAATATATGTTGACTAAGGGAACACAGAGAAAAGAAACAAGGCTTGTTGAGTGTCCTACTCTGGGTCAGACACCGGGTTATGTACTTGACATTTGTTACCTCATACAGTCACCACAACAGCTTTGCAGAGTATCTGTGCTGTTGCAGCTGTGGTTTAAGGAGGTGACTAGTTGACCCATGATTCCATGGTTAACAAGTAGTTGACCTGTGACTTACCCATCAGGCAGCCTGGCCCCCAAATCTGCTTTCGTATCCCTTAGCATAGACTTTTGTCACTTTTGTTTGTTTAAAGAAATGAACTCACTCATTTTTGACGTGTATTTTTGCTCCAAAGTATTTCACCAAAACATGATGTTGATGATTCAAGGCCTCCATCAGACGGTGACTTAGATCTTGCTCCCAAGGTAAAGTGTTTTCTTGTGAAATTAGTTTTTCTGCTCTGAGTTTAGTTTTGCGTAGTATTTACTGTTAAAATTTAGCAGTGGCATGCCTATCATTGTTTTACGTTTGTATTTGAAAGTTGGTCAGAGTAAACCATTTTTAAAAATATGACAGGTTGAATTTTTTCTTTTTTTACTTTGGTAAATACTGAAGATGAGGCTGAAGTAAAATGGAGTAGAAAATAGATCATGACAGGAAAACTGTACTGTGAAAAGGTTTCCCACAACAGAGGAAGTGTGAAGCTTGCCCAAGGATAAGGATTCTTTGACTTTTAAAACCACACTGATGGCACTTGTATAATACTCGTGCCTCAGGGACATCTTCAGTGCACACAGCTACTTACTGTGATAAACATGGCCTCTTCCTGGGGCCTTCCAGTTCCAAAACTACGTAGCATGTATCTTTTTTTCCCCCCTAGGACACTTTTTATTTTGGTATCAGAGAGTTGTGAGGAAAGAGGTTTTTTTTTTTCCTTTATTTCTATCTCTGGTTCTGCATTAAGACTAAAATAATAGTTGAAATTATAGAAACTTAGAAATTAAAATTCCGTTTCTCAAAATCCATGTTATAAAGAGATTCCTCTGTGTTTTCTAAATTATCTCATTTTGAGTATATTCAAAACTTTTCATCTAATTGAAGAGTACATGTTTTCCCTAAAATAACAGCCAGCTCTCAAAGTAGACTCCTAATAACAACCATATGATAAAACCTACTTCAGAATTCTTTTGTATTATAGTTTTAAAAAGTATGTCCAGTCCTCGTGTCCCATTCTAAAACTTCAAGTTTCAGATATTTTGCAGTATAGTTATTTCCATACTCATTTTATAGCCCCTGCATCAGTATACACCGCTAGAGATTAGGCAATGTAATTGTGCATTTCCTGGAGCACCGAGAATAAGGTCTTAAAAGTAAGAAGCATTTGATTATTTTTTGAGTGTGAATGCATGAAGAGACATGGAATTCTGCATCATGCTGCAGGTACTGTAACGTGCACACTCTATCATAATGAAATCTATTTGACGGTACAGGTAACACGATATGCGTACTATGTCATAGTGAAATTACTCGGATTCTAAAAATATGACTTAAATTTCTATTCCCTTTATTTAGGCTGTAAAAGTTCAATTGTTATGAGAGGAAGTATGTCATAAATGCCGAGGAAATAGATAAGAAGTATATGATAAACAGAAATGTTACAGTCTGTTTTTCAGTATCCACCAACTGTTAGCTTAGAATTTGAGATGAAAACTTTTTAACCTCCTTTTAGCCCCCTCTCATGTTCCATTAAATATATCTTTAAGCTATATTTTATCCTTAGAATCCTCATTACCAGTTCTTTCTCTAGGTGGAAATTTGATATGTTAGGAACTTTCTAAAATCTATTTTTCTCTCTAGTAATAATTTGCAGCGTTCAGGTAGTGAGAGACTACCATGTTCAGTTGAGTGACTTAGAGTGACAAAATTTAACTCTTACCTATAGTAGTATTTACAAACAAACAGTTGTAGGGTAATACAGGTCAGCATTATTGGGGATATACTATGAACAAAAGCCTTTGTTATATATATGTTTTATATATCATGTATTTTGATATTTTTATAAAACTTGAAGAATAATATATATACTTGCATATATAATTTGTATTTTTATATATATAATAAAAAGGTAAAACAGAGGCTTTCACTCATATTGTATCCCTAACAATACTGATACATCCCTGATCTATTATATATAAATGCTGAAATATATGTATTTCTCCACATGTGTTGTTATACTTACATTTTCCTTTTTACTTGCCTGAAGTTTGTGCTTGACTAGTCATGTCTCATTTTTTCTTTTCTTCCTCCTCCCCACTTTTTTTTT